GACACGATGATAGGAAGCAACAGCTGAGACATTATCATGAGTAACTGTCTATTGCTTATAAGGCTGGAACTGTTCCAATAATATCTATTTCAGTATTTTATAGTTGATGGAACGTTACGAATAAATTTCGAATATTTATACAGAGTGTTCGGCCACCCCTGGGAAAAATTTTAATGGGAGATTCTAGAATAGCAATTTATTGATTGAGGCTTCGTTAAAAAGTTATTACAAAATTAAATTAAAAAACTTCAAATCATTCAGAAAAAATTATTTTCGGTTGCGGGGGTCAATTACAATCATTTTTGGTCATTAGACGTACCCCTGAAATCCTACCGACTTTCGAGAAAAAAATTCGAATAGGTATTGAAATTTTTTGACGAAATTAAAAAATTACAAATCATAATAAAAAAATTATATTTAGTTAAAGGGGTCAATTACAAGCATTTTAGGTGAATAGACATACTCCGAATTCCTACGCACTTTCGAGAAAAAGATTCTTTACCGAAAATCTAATGTGAGGCTAGAAATGCTTTCCTCACATGTGAATTTTTAAAATGTCATAACTCCTGAACGGATTGGACAATTTTAATTTTTCAAAATGCAAACAACGCGTATTTTAGCGGAGAATATGTCGAAATTCTAATAATACCCGAAAAGTTATTCCTTAACTCCGCAAAATGAGAAAAATCCCATAAAAATGGTCCAATTTTCAAATCGCCATAACTCCTACAATAGTAAAGGTATCTCATTGAAATTTTTTTCTGAAGCAGAGCCCATGGGTACCTACAAAAAAGTATTAGATAACTTTTCTATAGAGCGTCAAACAAATTTAATAAAAATGAAAAACTAATTTTTAAGAAAAATCGACAAGGGAGTAAGTAGGTGCCCAAATTCTTGGGCGAAAAAAAAGTTTCGAATCGTTTCAAACAAACTTTTTGTAGGTTCTGAGGTCAAATACAACCATTTTTGGTGAGTAGATATACCCCCGGAATCCTACCCACTTTCTAGAAAAAAATTCGAGAAAGTATGAAATTTTTCGATAGAAAAAAATATTTCAAATCGTTTTGGAAAAATTATTTTCGATTGCAGGAGTCAATTACAATCATTTTTGGTGAATAGACATACCCCCGAATTCTTGCGCGTTTTCGTGAAAAAATTCAGTACGGGCGGATTTTTAAACGTTAATAACTTTTTAACGTAGCCTCCATCAACAAATTAGTATTCTTGATTTTCGTCTTATTTTGGCCTCTAAAATCTCCCATTAAAATTTTTCCCAGGGGTAGCCGAACACTGTATATTTGACGAGAACGTGCTCTGTGATGCTTGAATCAAACAGATGTACATAAATTTCAATTTTACCAGTCGCAGAATATTCAAATACAGTTGACAAATGTAAATATATATAGTGTAAAGAGATTCTAAATAAATTCGACTGTATCGTTTTTATACAAATTTATTTAATCAGTGACATAAAAAGATATATGGCATTCCATTTAAAAAATTGAAGGTTACTTTTATTTCTTAAAAAGTAATGTAAATATGCAGAATTTATATGCACTGTCTTATTGGTCATAAGAAATTGTAAAACTTTTTTCTCTTCCAGTTTTTTCTAATTGGAATAGTTTTCAAAAAACTCGCTGGCTAGTGATAGCATGAACATCCTATATGAATAGAGAATGTATCATTATGCATTCATTCATTCGCTGCAATCGTCGACAATAATCTACTGAATTAATGGTACGGTTTAATGGCAAAAGTTGCAATAAATTGTTCCCTTCGTGTTCCATCATAAACAAAATACTAGATTTTTTTTTGGTACAAATGTTTCTTTGTAATAGATCTAGATATTTCACCTGGATCACACCATTGTTTTTTCTGAGTATTATTGATGTGAAATATCTATTTTTTGTTTCCGTCGTTACCGATTTCTCACTGAAACACATTTCGATACCAAATTGTTTTTTTTTTTTATTGTTGGCCATAATAGAATAAACACAATATTAGTTATACTACGAAGTTGCGTGATTCATCCTGTATGTTTGATTAATGCTCCCGAATCGATCGGAAACGCGATCTCCTATTTGTTTCGGGCGGTACAGTAAACGGAACTCAATGAACGAAATACATATCTATAGTGATTTGCGCGTTGGTTGCAAGATTATTTCTTGCTAGCCAGGTTCAACTTCCCGTGAACGTCAACTTCCACGGAATCGAGTGTACGTAATATGTTAAAAATAAATCTGCACTTCATTCTCGATGCTCGATGTTTTCCGCGGGGTTATTACGGTAAATTACTCACGCTCGGATATTTACAATTAAAATCGATTTATCAAACTGAACGTTACTTGACTACGGATAAAAGCTAAAGGAATATTTATTTTGCAAAAAGAGAAAGTTGAAAGAATTTTTACTCGAGAATTTCTATTCGAGAACGAATGAATTGTTTAAAAGGATAGTTTGTCAATTTCAAATAAAAAAATCAATTTTCCTGTTACATTTTCTTAAGATAATTGACCTTGATCTTGAAAAGACTGGTAAGATTTCAAAACTTGGTAATGCTTGAGAACTTTGAACAGAATTCTCTACAGGGTTGGACCAGAATTCGTAGTACAACCGAGCAAGGGGTGATAATACGTGAAAAAATGAGAAAAACATTTGGTATAACGTTTTTTTATCTGAGACCACGTTTTCGAGAAAATCGACTAAGTTTGTTTATCTTTGTAAACGATTTAATTGTCTATTCTTCTATCCCTGTTGTTTCCGTCCGAGATAGTGTTTAAAAACATTGACAATGATGGAAACATTCTGTTTACTACATAGTTTTTTCAGATATCGTTAAATCGTCGAGCAAACTTGTTTATGTAGCAGAGTGCAGGACATTTTCAACGATACTTATAATACCGTATTGCAATAGGAAATAGTAATAAGGAATAAAAAATTAATTATCAGTAGAAACACTTTGTACTGTTTTAATAATGTTTGTAAAAGAATAGACGACAGCTAAATTTTCTCAAAAACGGAGCCTCGAATATAAAAATGTTATATGATGTTTCTTATTTTCTCACGTAGAATCACTCCTTGCTTACAAAGTTGTACTACAAATTCCGGCCCACCTTGTATACAGGGTGTTCGGTCACCCCTGGGAAAAATTTTAATGGGAGATTCTAGAAGCCAAAATAAGACGAAAATCAAAAATACCAATTTGTTGATGGAGGCTTCGTTAAAAAGTTATTAGCGTTTAAACTTCCGTCCCTACTGAATTTTTTTCTCGAAAATGCGCAAGATTTCGGGGGTATGTCTATTCACTAAAAATGATTGTAATTGATCCCCGCAACCGAAAATAATTTTTCCAAAACGATTTGAAATTTTTTTTTCCGTCGAAAAATTTCACACCTTCTCGAATTTTTTTCTAGAAAGTGGGTAAGATTTCAGGGGTATGTCTATTTACCAAAAATGATTATAATTGACCCTCACAACCAAAAATAATTTTTCCGAAACGATTTGAAATTTTTGAATTTAATTGTTAATAACTTTTTAACGAAGCCTCCATCAACAAATTGGTATTCTTGATTTTCGTTTTATTTTGGCCTCTAGAATACCCCATTAAAATTTTTCCCAGGAGTGGCCGAAAACCCTGTATACTTGGAAAGACACCTTTTAAAATTTTAACTTGAAATTATTTTCAACTCGATAATTCGATGTTAAAAACAACATCCACAGTTACTTATATTCAAATGCAAAGGTTTCAACAAACACCTTTTGGTCGAAATGGATATCTATAAAACCGCGGTTAAATAGTGTTAAATTCATTCAGGATAATCATTTTTCCTACATAATTTCAATTTTTTTTTATTATTACACCCCTACATTTAGAATCAATTCCATTGAGGAATTTTTAGTAAATGTGTTGACTATGCAATGATATGAATAGAATATTGGTGAATACATACAATCAGTCACGAATGGCTTCGTACACTCCCTAAAATAGTAATTTTAAAGAAAATAAGCAACAATATCGTATAATATTATATTCATTTATTATTATGTATGATATTATTAATTAAACTACATAAATATTTATTGCTTTTTTAAGAATATTTTATAGAATGAGGAAAAAACGAAATCTGCATGTCACAAAATTGTTCGTACACTAAAATACGAAGGTAATAGATCTAATAAATTTAGTAAATTTTTGAAAGATAATATCTGGGCTGCTCCGATAATGTTTTGTTTACGTTGTCATGACGTCGTGATTCAGTTGAATGATGTTTAACAACCATTTAGCGACAATGGGCGCTTCTAGGAGAGAAACAAGTGTTGAAATGCGGAAATTAATTGTTAAATTGTTTAAGGAGAAGAAATCTTTACGTGAAATTGCTAACATTGTAGGCAGAAAACATTCTACTATTCAGTACATAATAAAAAAATTCGAAATAACTGGTAAATATGAAAACAAAACACGTAGTGGTCGTCCTAAAATCCTAAGTAATAGAGATGTTCGATCTGTACTGTAAATTATTCGCCAAGATTCAAAAGTAAGTGCTCCAAAAATAGCCGCAGAAGTAGAAAATGATTTTGGGGAAAGAGTACACCCTGAAAATATTCGAAGAATTTTAAGAAAATCTAGATATTGTGGTCATGTGCCGCGGAGGAAAACCTTAGTCAGTAACATCAACCGTTCTAAGAGAATTGAATTCACAAAAAAACATGAAAATGAGAATATACAATTTTGGGAAAGAGTATTATTCCCTGGCAAAAGTAAGTAATATTTTTGGAGCAGATGGAAGAGGCAAAATATGGAGGAAAAGCGACACAACACTTGTAATCAAACGATCATTTTAGGGGGTGTACGAAGACTTTCGTGACTGACTGTAGGTTGAGATATTAAATAATAAGGGTGAATAAATAGATTAGAAATGAATAGATCATTTAGTACGTATGAAAGAGATAAAGAAGCCGTTGCGATAAGGGATTAACCGGGTTTGTTTCTGTATTTTCAGCTCGATGCAGATGCCAAAAGAATCATGACGAGGGATCGGTGAACTTCGTTGACAAGGCGTTGCGATTTCACGCCGTTCCCGAGATAAAACTCGAAGAAGCTTGTGGAGGAAACGAGGGTGAATCATGTCGCAATCTAGGCGTCCAAGTGTTTCCATATACGACTATCCGGAACACTTGAATCCGTTCAGCGACGAGATCACGAATAACCAGCCGCGCATGTATCGCGACGGAAAGACGAAAGACTCGAAGCACAAATTTTGGACGTTCGGCAGAACCAGGAAGAAGAGATCGAATAGTTTCTCCATCAAGTCTACATGGTAAAGATTTACGATTCAGAATTATTCGATCTCGATTCGGAAGCGTTTCGAAACACGTTCCATCGAGTTTGAAAGTAAATTGAGAAGAATGCGCCCGTCAGTTTGTTGAACTTGAACTTACCGGCATAAGCCAAACGCACACGTGAATCGAATGCAACGCGTATACCTGCATTTGGCTGTCACCCAAACTACATAAATAACGAGAACCTAACGTACCAGACAATCGACGTCAGGTCGAGTTTCGTCCAAAAGGTCTGCACAATTTCTATTTGAAGAAACGATCTCGCGCGCCTTTCCTGCGTAATGGCTAGCTTGAAAATTGCTCTGCGGTCTTCCTCTATCCGTTGCAGTCTAGTTTAACCTTTCGAAAATTATTCGTTCGATTTTCTATCTTACAATTAGCTATTAGGGAAGAAATATGTATGACTTGTGCAGACAAACTTACTTTTTCAGTTTTGTGGCGTAAATTAAAATCTTGGATAACTGCGAGAAACACGGGACCGAAGTCTCACAGTTATACCTAAAAGCATGGTGAATTTTCAGTTCCCAGAATGACACGTAAAAAAGGATAGCGAACAAAGGATAAATAAGAATAACACATCGTGAAACTTATTTATATTTTATTTTTTGTTAGCGGGACCTTTACTAATATATTTGTGAGGTTTTTCCGATTAAAATAAGATAAAACACGATATAACTTGGATCATATTTGCGTATTTATTGAATGACGATAGACAGTTAATATTAATAGTAAGTAAATATTTTCCAAATTATATTGTGTTTATTCTTTGATCAGAAAGATCTCGAAAATTCCATTTTGTAAGGATAGTCGAAAACGGGATAGGGCAGAAAGCGTATACAAAAATGCGAAGAGCTACTGAGGACGGTTATCTTTTATTTCAACTGCCCCTTGCCGCGGGCCTAGCTCGACTGACTCCTCTTTCCTCAATTTGGAAAAACGGGACCCTCCGCTAGGGTGGGCCATGTGCAATCCGACTGAGCGCTTTCCCTAACCTTGGCGACTACGGGTCTCGCTCAGGCTAAGTGCCATAAACCAACGGTCAGGGAGGTCCTTGGTGCCGTACGCACTCTTGTGGCTTACAATTTTAATGAAAGACAAAAGTAAATAAACTTCATCTTTGCATTAGGTACTATACATACTCTATTAAAAGTAGGTTAAAAACAAATTATATCGTGTTTGGTCTTATTTTAATCGGAAAATTCTCGCAAATACATTGGTAAAAGTTTCATCTTTGCATTATATACTATGTATGTATTGTCTCACCGATATTCGAGCCCAAATCAGATTACACTACGCGGTCCGTTCGACGTTGAGCTTCGTGTGCGTCAAGGGGAGTCCCCTCTCAGTAGTAGGGATGACTACCGTTCACTTATCCAATCGAAAATGATTCGCAGTTATCCAAGCATTGCTGTATAACGCACCAAACGGAATAAGAACTTTGGGGTCTATATCTTCGATAGAATTTATATTAGACAGGAAAAGATTGTGGATTCATATTAAATGTGGAGATAAAAATAATGTACCAAAGCAGATGTGTACAAGATAATGTGATTTCTGATATGGACTCATCTATTTTATCGAAACAACATTTCTATATCTGTTCCAGTACTCTGAATCTTCCGACTGATTTTACTCGTAGAAATTCCAGGAAATCTTCTTTGAAATTCCAATACTTATTCACAAGGAAATACCGCTTCGTGTCGTATTTGCATTAGAAAGAAACAGTTCCGGTCTGAATGTTGATCGAAACTGACTTCAACAACACGATAATCAAATGCGTACAGTTTACTTTTAGTTTTGATTATAGTGCTCAGAATAATGTGAGAACCGTTTCGAGCATAACTGTGAGTCACGTTCCAATTCTTGGCTATGTAGAAACATCTCACCCACGATAAATAGGATGTTTTTAAATACGTATCGTTCGGAATAATTACTAAAAAGTAGGAAATACTAGAGAAACTAAACGAGATTATTTTCATCATTTTTCATGAAAAATATTTTGTCTACCGTTCGTTCTTGATTACTTTGTGCTTTCGAAACACTGTTTTCCTTTCACCATTATGAAAGAACAGAAAATGCGAATTCGAAGTAACGGGAATATTTCGTCAATATACAACACTGTATGATTACTTTTTCGATGATTGTTATGATTTTTTTTTCAAAGTTTGAAATTTGTTACATTTTCATTTAAATCATTATAAAATTCATATTATCTGAAAGATAAGTTAATTTCTCAATTTCTTATGTTCCTTTCATAGCCAACTAGCGTTCTACAACTAAAATCATTGTTGGAGGATTAACGTTCTATCTACTAGTATTCTAAACAAGATATCTGCTTTGAGTCAGAATACCCGTGATCAAAACATCTTACTCAACACGTTGTGTTTTCTAGTCCAAAGTACAAGTTCGACCTCCATCTCTCCTTATTACTAAGGATCCAAGAATCATCCTCCTCCCTCCAAACTGTAGAATATAAATATACCCCAAGAACTGAACAAGTTTGGTCTAGAATGTGACTGTATAGTAATGATTCTTGAAAACAGCCGCAAACATTATTCGTAAATTGAACATTTCTATCTATCTCGACTTGGGGAATCCCCCTTAGAGCCCAGTGAAGCGTGAAACACAATGCTTTGTGAAAAGCCGCTGACGCACTCGGCTTCTTTATCAGATCTCGCCAACTGCCATTTAAAGAGCACAGCTTATTAACTTTAAAAAGAAACTCTTAAAAATATGCTACTTACCAGGTTAAATTATTTAATAATTTAATAATATATAGTAATCAGATGCATTGAATTCTGCCTAAATCAAAATAAATAATTAGAATAAAGTTGTTTCAATGTTATATAATTTATAAATTTTTTCTGATACATATTTATGGATTTTCCGGAAAGAAATATTGCCTTAATTCTTTTAAGAAGGAATGTACGAACAGTGGTTCTGTTGTTACATTAGCCGAAGTGTTATGTTCGTTTTAAGAATCATTACTGTATTACTGTACTTCACGTCTTGTTGCAAACCGTGCAATATTTAGAAACTATCGTTTAAATATACAGGGTGTTCGGCCACCCTTGCGAAAAATTTTAATGGGTGATTCTAGAGGCCAAAATAAGACGAAAATCAAAAATACCAATTTGTTGACGGAGGCTTCGTTAAAAAATTATTAACGTTTAAAGTTCCCACCGTACTGAATTTTTTTCTCGAAAATGCGCAAGATTTCGGGGGTATGTCTATTCACCAAAAATGATTGTAATTGAACCCCGCAACCGAAAATAATTTTTCCAAAACGATTTGAAATTGTTTTTTTCTCCGTCGAAAAATTTTGCACCTTCTCGAATTTTTTTCTAGGAAGTGGGTAGGATTTCGGGGGTATGCCTATTCACCAAAAATGATTATAATTGACCCCCGCAACCGAAAATAATTTTTCCAGAACGATTTGAAATTTTTGAATTTAATTGTTAACTTTTTAACGAAGCCTCCATCAACAAATTGGTATTCTTGATTTTCGTCTTATTTTGGCCTCTAGAAACCCCCATTAAAATTTTTCCCAGGGGTGGTCGAACACCCTGTGTTATATTGTTAATCAACAATTTAAGAGCTTCTTACCCAACCTCCAACAATATTATGGTTTAAACTGAACGTATTGCATCGTATGAATACATTTTTCGATATCTGTATGTTCAGCGCTGTGTTTGTTTTCCACTTGCAGACAAGGAATTGAAAAGATATCTCACGTTTGGACTTCGTAATCCGCTACATCCACTTACACAAGCTTTCCGATAACCATGAATTAATCTTCGAAATTTATCTCCGTGTTGAAGGTTTTCTTTGTCTACGGCGACTTGTTGGAATAATTTGTCAAAGCGTCGCTTAATGACGGTTCGTCACCCCCGGCTGTTTGTTACGCTTTGTTTTGGTATAGGTTTTATCTTTGGATGGCGTTAACGGTATTGCCTAGCGAATATCCGCGTCTAAAGTCTCGATCCTTGTCATAAAACTCATCTTCTTGCGACATCGTTGGAATAAAATAAGAAAATAGCAGACTTGACGTCAGTCGATCTCGATATACGTATGACGACACGTCTACTGGATCGCTTTGTTTGTTATTCGACGTCCGTTCTACCTGTAAGCCCGTGTCGTTGATTAATACGAAGTCGTTAAGATTTTTGTTCCAGCAGGATCTATGTCCCGGTTAGCGTTCACAGTTCAAGTACGAATCGTAACTGGAACTGCTTTTTTGCTTGGAATAAATGTTCGTTCGACATTATACTATTTTCTATCTGTGTAACAGTTATTATTGCGAATGAAAAGTGAAAATTCTTAAGCGTGATGTTGATGGTATTTATTATAGAATTCAGGAGCAATTGAGGTGGTTTATTTTCTTCTAATTGGCTATGGTGATTCTTATAAAAATTTTAATGGAAGATTTTTGCCTTATTTTGACCTCTAGAATTTCCTATTCAAATTTTTCCCAGGGGTGACCGAACACCCTGTATATTAAATAATTGACATGATCAGATAACATGGATTATTGTATAAAAACATTGTATAGAAAGATGGCAGTATTTAACGGATTTAAATTAAGAAATTCCTGAATGTCTACCTTATGGCTGAAATTTTTTGTGATATCAAAAAATGCACTTTTTTTATTTTATCTTAATATTTTGACAGTAGTAAGAAGTAAATCAAAAGTGTTTTCCTAATGTTACTTATGTAGTCTAATGTAACATAATATAATACATTTTTAAGTAATAATGTATGTAATAATATGAAGCAGGTTCAGAAATTTTTCCTAAAAAGCGAACATTTCTTTATACTTCTATTTCATAATACGAAATTATTTATTGTAAATACAAAGTACTTGCGCGTAGATATACATACAAATCATAGCAAACCAAAATACTATGCATATTACGTTGCATATTTGTTATTTCACTTTCTATTGAAAGAATAGCTAAAAATGTGAAACCTTCTTGGCTTATTGTTAATCGAAGATAATTTTGTATTAACTTCAGTAGTAAAAAGTTACGTTCAGTTGAAGCTACAGTTAACGGTGTTGTTAACATGATTTGTAACGTAAATAATAAATTTGGATATGCTTCTGAAAGATTATGTTTTATAATATATTTCATCATGTTAAGGCTCGAACAATTTTCTTGCATTATCGACTAGAACATTTTAATCTCTTCAAATGTTTCTACTCTGTTAAGATCTCCTTCCAAATAAAGTTGCAAATTTTTACATTTGAATAAATATTTCTCGTCCAAATTCACAACTTTATTTATGTATAAAAAGAAGAAAAATGTTTTGATGAATTTCATGTAATTTAAATCTATCTTTAAATGATACTTACACAGAATCTATTATCTTCAAAAAATAATGTACATGCAAGTTTTGTTCGTCGTTAGTTATTGACTCATTCTCTCTTTTACGGTCAACAAATTTTTTTTTTTTATCTGTGTATAAAAATTTTAAGTTTAGTATTATATCTAATTCTTTTGCTATCATGGCGGCATTTGTAAATTTTTCGTTTCAGCAGTTTTCAAAAAATGTATTTAGTTCTTTTAAATACTTTGTGGTTTGATCTATATGTATATTTTGGTTCTATAAAACTTTGCTAACGACACAAACTTGTGATAATATTTCGTACCAAATGATACGAACTGACTATATGTATATTCAAATTCATTTATCTTTCGTACCATGGACAAAATTTCACTTTTTAATGTGCAATCTGATGTCCTGTTAGGAATTTCGTCTAAATCACTTCGATATTGGGGAACTTAACACGTTGACTGCCAGACCTATCCTTTCAAATTGTTCACGAAATCGAGACTTTGTTTTTAGACAATTGGAAACTAGCATACCCACAATTTATCATGGAACTTATTTTTACAGCCTCGTTGAAATTCAAGAATCCCGTCTAGATTTATTTTCTTTAACACATAATCTTGAGAATCAATTTTTGTAGCTTCTTAAAAATCATGTCACCCAACTTTTACACTATCAAAGCAACATTCCTACCTCGTTTCGGACAATAGTTAATGAATTCTACAATTTAATGTATTATGCACGTATGATATCTATGCATAGGGTATTGCAAAATTTACCACAAAATTTTCGTTGAAAACCTAACCTGAAAACCTAACTTCCTCGGGTTCCGAGCAACCCGCTGAACCCGTCGAACTCGCTTTGCGCCGATCCTGATATAAAGCTCAGAAATCGAATGCGTACTAGTGACTGACTGTAAATACTGTCTTGTTAGTCCATTTGAGAATATTAATTGTGGGATATTGTGGGTTAAGAGCGCGGCGACGCGCAGAATCTCATCATCTCGTATAGCGTATAAATGTGACACAGATCTCTCAACACGTTTGAATACTAAGCGAGTGGCACAATTATCATCTGACGCACATCGAAACTACATACTAATTTATTTGTCTCTTTTTTCTTTTCTAATAGTAGCGTCAATCGCTTGCTTTCAGGAGTGGGCTGTTTGGCAAACGGAAAGATGAGAAGCCGGAAAACCAAGAAAAAAGATCTACCATCACAACAGGTGATTACTCGTTTTAAATCTTATTAATAAACTCGTAACGTTTAATAATTTCTGAAATCAACAGTGTCGTCAACCTATAAAAGAGAGCCTCACACCAAACCTATGGCACCTCCGCAACCAACAAAGGACCAACAGGAGTTCGACGAAGCCCTTGGCACTTTAACGAGAAGAAGAAAGTATACTTTAGAGAATTCATCGAGATACAGTTCGAGTTTAACCGTGAATGGTGATCCTGCAAGGATCTACGATGGGAGCCCACAGGACACGACTGCATCCATCATGGGTGACCTAACCCCCAAACCACCTATTAGAAGGTGAATAAAATTAACAAATTGTCAGATTGAACCGTAAATGTACAATCGGTCACACTGAAAATCATCCACCCCCCTTGCTAATTTATTTTTGTTCATAAATAATAATATAGGGCCAAAGTATTTAATACGGTTTATATTTCCAATATGGACGCTCGTAATATTTTAACGAATCTTAGTAATGTACAAATTTATTGTTACATGAACAAATGCTCGTATTTTTATTATATGAACTATTTGTCTCTCGTCAAGATCATATTGTGGTGACACCTCCTGCACTCGCCAACAGAGGGCTACGCGCAACTTATGTCTCTCACGAGTGCTCGACAGACCACCTATTCCTCTATACAGGCTGTTCGGCCACCTTGGGAAAAATTTCAATAGAAGATTCTAAAGGGCAAAATAAGACAAAAATCAAGAATACTAATTTGTTGATTGAGGTTTCGTTAAAAAGTTATTAACGTTTAAAGTTCCACTTGTAGAACGGCAATCTGTGAACAGCTGCGTGCGCGCGATAGTAGTTCCCACCTCAGGCGAAGTATTCGAGTAGACCTTATATCTAATGTATTTTTTCGGTCCATTTTTCTAAGGCACTAAAGTTACATTAATGTGCATTGTTTGCTGTTGAATGATTAAAATCCACCAATCCGTCTAGAAGTTATGATTTTTTAAACATATGCATCGGGGAAACATTTCTGGCCACATTATATTTATCGGTAAGGAATTTTTTTCTAGAAAGGACATAGGATTTCGGGGGTATGTCTGTCGACCAAAAATAATTGCAATTGACCCCCGCAAACGAAAATAATTTTTCCAGAACTATTTAAAATTTTTTAATTTTGTCGACAAATGTCCACCTATTCGAATTTTTTTCTCGAAAGTGCGTAGGTTTTCGGGGGTATGTGTATTCATAAAAAATGACTAATTGACCCCCGCAACCAAAAATAATTTTTTCAGAACAATTTGATATTTTTATATTCGTCGAAAAATTTAGGCACCTACCCTCACGATTTTTCTTAAAAATTCGTTTTTGATTTTTAGTAATTTTGTTTGATGCCCAACAGAAAAGTTGTCTAATACTTTTTTGTAGGTACCCATGAGCTCTACTTGAGAAAAAAGTTTCATTGCAACATATTCACTATTGTAAGAGTTACGGCTGTTTGAACTTTATGGGGTTTTCCCCACTTTACGGGGTTAAGGAACAACTTCTCGAATATTCTTAGAATTTCTACATGTTCTTCACGAAAATACGCGTTGTTTGCATTTTGAAACATTAAAATCCTCCAATTCGTTCAGAAGTTATGATGTTTTAAACATACGCATGAAATTTCAGGGCAACATTCTAACCTCACATTATATTTTCGGAAAAGAATTTTTTTCTCGAAATTGCGTAGATTTTTGGGGGTATGTGTATTCACCAAAAATGATTGCAATTGACCCCCACAACCGAAAATAATTTTTTCAGAATGATTTGAAACTTTTCAATTTCGCCGAAAAAAATCAGCAGCTACCTCCTGTCGATTTTTTTTTTTAAATTCATGTTTCAATTTTAATAAATTTCTTACACGCCGCATGGAAGTGTTGGTTAGTTACTTTTTTTGTAAATATTCATGAGCTCTACTTCCAGACTAAATTTCAATGCGATACACTCACTATTGTAGGAGTTACGGTCGTTTGAAAATTGGACCATTTTTAAGGGGTTTTCCCCACTTTACGGGGTTAAGGAACAACTTTTCGAACATTCTTAGAATTTCTACATATTCTCCACCAAAATACGCGTTGTTTCATTTTGAAACATTAAAATCCACCAATTCGTTCAGAAGTTATGATGTTTTAAACATACGCATGAAATTTCAGGGCAACATTCTAACCTCACATTATATTTTCGGAAAAGAATTTTTTTCTCGAAATTGCGTAGATTTTCGGGGTAGGTATATTCACCAAAAATGCTTGTAACTTACCCCTGTAACTAAATATAATTTTTTTAGTATGATTTGAAATTTTTTAATTTTGTCTAAAAATTTCAGTACCTACTCGAATTTTTCTCTCGGAAGTGGGTAGGAATTCGGGGGTATGTATATTTATCAAAAATGATTGTAATTGAGCCCCGGAACCAAAAATAATTTTTTCAGAATAATTTGAAATTTTTTTATTTAATTTTTTAATAATTTTTTAACGAAGCCTCAATCAAGAAAGTAATATTCTTGATTTTCGTCTTATTTTGGCCTCTAAAATCTCCCATTAAAATTTTTCCCAGGAGTGGCCGAATATCCTGTATACACTCCTCGATTAACTCTTCAATGTCCTAGCGTCTAAGGCAGGTCCTACTAGAGTTTACCTTACTTTGATGAGTCCCATTTAGAAGGTTCTGGACGAAACGCTGCTTTCCTCTTCTTTTCCTTTCTTTCCTTCTGCTATCTCGTTTACACACTTCCTCCACTCAGCATGCTGCTACAATATAAATAGAGAGTATGTTTCACTCCATTGTATATTTATTTTAGAGATAACTTAGAACGTATGAATCGAATCGTAAATATAAATAGTTTGTTTAAAACTGACGATTGGTCGTTATTAATCAGATACATTTACACATTCTTTTGACTAGATTTGGTCAAGTGAGCCCAAAGCCAACCGATAAAATTCCACCGTTGGATTATGAGGACAAAACGCCAAAAGAAAATGGAAGTGTGACTCTACGTGAGAAAACACAAGAAAGAACGCCCATACCTCCTTTGTAAGCATTCGTATTTCGTGCAGAGTTTATGAGAACATGGATCATTTCTTGATCAGAGATTTGAAACATAATTAAATTTCAAATTTCAATGGTTAAAAAGTTCAATTTTTCAGGCGCAGATTCGGTAACAGATCGTCGCAAAGGACGAACGCGGGTACACTGGATTCCGAAGATGAAGCGAATCGATCAGGCGACGCCGCGTTTTGTGACGAAAACGAGAACGTTCCTGAAGATTACGTTTTCAAGAGGTTCACTCAGGATGCCGTCAGAAAGTCCAATCTCTCTATAAACAGTTGCATTTCTGTTGGAAGTACGATGAGTGCGTACGGTCGAAAAAAACGGAGAGCGCCGCAGCCACCACGCCGTTTAGAAAAGTTGGAAACTAGCGAGGTAAGTGTAAGAAACTTTGATTCAATTGTTGGTTCGTTCAATAAGTCTTTTTCGTTTGATGTGTTATACAGAAGAACACCGAAGTGCCCAACATCGAACTTCAGATAGTAGAACCAAAGGACATAGCGAGTGTTACCGAGAATATCGACGAGATGACGAAGAAGAGTAAAAATTTGGACGAGGGAGCTAACGAAGCGAATGAAACGTCGATAGAATCTATTTCGGGTGATATGCAATCGCTAGAAACAGTCACGGTAAAAGATAGTCCTGTCGAGACTACAAAATATAAAACCGAAGATACAAAAAATTCTGTACGAACCGAACAAACTGAATCCGAAAACATCACAACAGAGGATAAAGGAAAGACGAAGGAAGTGGATTCTGAGGATCCTGTACAAGTCGAATACCATAGAACTTCTCAGGAGAATGTAGAAATCATCAAAGACGTCGATGAAGTGAATCTGCCGTCTGAATTAGAGGAAGTTTGCCTTAGAAGTAAGAGCTCTTCTGGTTCGTTGTCCAGAAGCGATAGTTTTTCTGTAAAGGAGGAGATCGAGAAAATCGAGAGGCAAATAAAAGCTCTTGAAACGAAAAATGCTTCCAGAGAATCGTCGGAAGAAAAGAGCGTGGATAGTCAGCAAGGGAATACAAGACAGTCGCTTCAAGCTAATCGTAGACAATTTTTCCAAAACATGGTGGACGACGAGAATGGCAAAGATTCGATTAAAATAGAATTTAAGGAATTCCCGAGGGAGCAGAACATTCACGTTGTGAGATTAAATGAGCCTCCTGTTCCTGTAGCTGTATCCACAGAACCGGTGAAAGTGATCGAGCTTCACATTTCCGAGCCTATTAAACAAAAACCGGAGATCGTCGACGATGTCAATCCGATACCAAAACCAAGAAGGCACAGTGCTTTGAGTTTGAACGATAATCGATCGAGCGCGACTCCAGTCGCAGATCGAAGAAATCTTGAGTCGACCAGAGGGAAGTCATTTTAGAATGTCTACCTTCGATTATGAATTGTATAGAACATTATGGAATCATTTCGGCTTTTAAATTAAATGGAAAGATGATGGTACTTCCGTTGATTTTAGTCGAAAAATTCTTTAAAGACTGTGTAGACATTGTGTACATGTGCCTTTATTTAATACTTAGAGGTCTCATTGACCCTTTGATGCATCGTTGTCATTGCGTAATCGACGTTTCGGTTACACGGTCGGTGGTTTGCGAAAAAATTATGTATGTATCTAAAATATTTTTGACACTATGTATTTTCATTTTAAATCCAATAACAATTGCTCTTTGTAGATACTTCAAAGGGTTAATAAGCGTAATAAGTATACGTATTATGTACTTGGAGCCTTAATACAATGATGAAACAATAAGTCTTCGTCAACTTTGGGCATAGATTATTATGTGATCGTAGATATCTCCCATTTATTTAGTATTTTCATTATTTATTGATACAGAATAAAGTTTAAACATTTTATCTTGTTTATGCTCTATCAATTATTTGGAACATTCAACAGGTTCCTATTCTAGATTTGGTCTGAACTAAGTTGCATGGAAGAAACAATTAATTCTAAAAATATTGCAAAAAAAATTTCGTTTTATTTGTAATATTTACAAAATTCATTTCTTACTCATGGCAATAGTAGAGTTCAATAGCGTTATCATTAGATAACATAAAAACTTCACCAGTCCTTGTTTCCTTATGATACACAACTATCTTTAATAAAGACCCTATTGTTAAAAATAAAAATTACATAAAAATATTATATCATATAAATAACATATTTGTAGTGTACATATTATTTGTCCTTAATGTACTACCATTTCTTGGCAAAAAAAGAATAGTCAAAGTTCCATAAAAATATGCCAGTAAAATTAGTTCCAATTACACCGTTCAATACGAATTTCTTTTCGTAATATACACTGGTTGATTTTTGTAGAGTTTCTCACCCTGAGCATGAATCTGCAAGCAGAGTTGTTATATCACTCTCAGTTTATAACAAAACAGAATTTTTGGAGAAACTTCTGATTTTGAACAAAAATGAAGTATTGCGTAAAGACTGAAAAAGGTAGAAAGTTTTGCCTTGGTTTAAAATATAAAAAAGATTTAAAATATGATACTATCAGTAGTTGTAATATTTTATGATTTTGTGTAATGACGGCCATAGATTAAGCAAATGCCAAAGTACGTACTTTTTAGGCATTATTTGTGCATTATTATTTGGTATTGGCGCCATATTGTTCGCTACTCGCTTGTTTCAAAATTCTACAAAGATCACCTAGTGCATGTTGCAAAAAAAAAAGGAAAAGTTAAAATTTATTGGACAATATTAATTTTTTAAACATTTTTTATTTGTTTTTCTTTATATTTTATAAATCTTGTGATATTTGTGTTTACTGTAGACACTATTGCAACGTTGTCTCTTAGGATTTTCTTTTGTTGTCGCACCTATTTAAACAAAACAAAAAGCAATTATAATTACAAAAAATAAATAATAATCATTTCATACATTCAAATATATGGCTTAAACAAAAAAGTCTTACTTTATGTTTAAAGAGTGGTACAAGAGTGCGTAATTTTTCTACTAAATTTATTTCACTCGCTAATTGATTGCTCTCATCTTCTGAATATATATCCATTATTGTGTCCAAAGATTCAGCCATCACCCAAGCCTTTGATTCCATCGTACAAGTATTTAATAAAAACATAGACATATGCTAAAATAATATTTTTCATTGTGAAAAATCATTCATAATCCAATTACAATATAAGATTATAAATCTTACTTTTGTTAGTTCAGAACCTTCAGAAGTACAATTATTTATTAAGATTAAAGCAAGATTTCCCACTATTCTTATTAAATTTGCTCGAACGTTAGCATTTGAGCATTGCTGTTCACCATTTAACATTGGTTGAATGTCGGCTAATGTTAATTGATTGAAAATATTTGGTTTTCCCTCGGATAATCTTTGAAGAACCGCCCTCATAGTTGCTGTAGCAGATTCCAATAATTCAATATCGTTTGGATTTGCATCTTTAAACACAACTGTTCCAATATCAACCCACATTCTAAATTAAAAATATGAAAACATAGTTCGATAGTCATTTTTTGTCATATTTTATATTAAAATTGTAATTTGAATGAAACACTTAAAAATATTTTACCTGTATATATTTTCCATACCGCCAAGAACATCAATTTCCAAACTAGATATTAAATTATTTAAACAGAGGTAAGCTCTACAGTTTAGTGTATGCATTTGCTGTAAAATAGCTTTTCCTTCCACATTTTGTTCCAATATTTCTGTTGTATCTTTGTCTACAGCTATAGTCTTATCCCATACTTTCTTAATTATGTTACAACTATTAAAAACTTCGATTACTTCTAAAGGTAGAGATAAATTAATGTTACATAATTTGTTATCCAAGCATGCATTATCTATACTGTTGGTCTCACAATCTGAATCGTCCAAATCAGAATCATTATCACTTTCCTGTTCTTCCGAACATAAATTAGCTAAAATTTCAAGCGTGTGTTGTTGCGCGCCAAACATTTTTCTACTATCTCGTACTTTCTTTTTCGCAGTATTCGAGAAAGCATTTTTTTCATGAGGTAAAATTGACGATAAATTAGATAATAGTTGTTTGCAATCAACAGAAAGTGTTTCAGAAAGTACAGCTATTGCTTTACAAACTGTACTCGTGGGATTATTTTCCACATAGTTAGATATATTAATTAGAAGTCCTGCAACAGCAGTTTTAAGACACATTATATCAGAGGCATTAGTATTATTTGCCTCTACATTTAACAATTGAAGAAGTGTATCTTCGCAGCTTTTAAGTTTATTAATAGCAATGGAATTATCTTCTGACAAAGACAATAAACATTGAACAGTCACTGTAACAATGTCAACACCATAAACGGTAATGTCAAAAAATTTTATTAGAATAGAAACAAGATCTTCTTTGTTTGCATATTTTATTGCACATTCATTATTCTCGCACAAAGTCCATAACAATGTGACTGCTTGGATAAATGCTTCTTTCTCATCATTTACTTTATTTATTTCATTTTGATCGAGTATTGGTTGCCAGTCTGTATAATACTATGTACAATAAATAAAGTATTAAATAACACAATCACATAAAAACTGAATACTTTTCATACTTACTTGTATCAATAAACTGCACAATGGGGTCATGATATCATCTTTAAGTAAACTCTTGTATGCTTCTTCTTTTCCATTATCTGCAATACATCTTAAAGCACTAGCACTTTCGGCTCTTACAAGTACATTGTGATCGACAAGCAATGGTCCTACCATTTTAGCAATTCCATCTTTTGCTATTTGCGCGGCGAGCGTCGATTCGCAAGACATTGACTCCAGTGTTTGCAATCCAGACAATATTTCTTCAATATTACCAGACTGTATCTATATTTATAAAGTAAATATACATTTTAGTGCTGTGTGAATATATATACAGTCACCTCTATATTTTCAGTAAATGTACAAGAAACAACAAATATTTATTACATTATCTTACATTAGACTATATAAATAACATTGGGGAAAAAACTTTTGATTTATTTCTTAGCATTGTCAAAATATTAACTACAAATGAGCAAATTTTGATATCACAAAAAATTATGGACACTATTTGGTGCAATATATCTGAGTAAATAGGATTTTCAACATTGAAAAGGATTCATGAGCTTCAGTAGAATAACAAAAGGGGTACATACAGAAAAAGGCGAAGAACCATTGATATAATGTAACACACAGTAACATAATGTAATACATTTTGTTGCTTCTTGTATATTTATTGAATATATAAAGCTTATACTGGAAGAATTAAATAAGAATTTAAAAGATATCTTACTTCTTCGTATACTCTTTCCAATGCAGTATCTCGATCGTCATTTATATTTTCGGCGTTAGCAGATTCAAAATCTTTAACAGACGGAAGACCGGTAGGATTTTTCCTAGGTTTCCTTCTTTCTCTTTTTTGTTTTCCCATTTTTTTACAATATAAAAATCTTTAACAAGTATACATATTCTTCTAACATGCTGTAAAAGAGGTTAGCCAAAAACACGTGCTTTTGCTGGAGTTTTTAACTTAAGCATTTATTTTTATTGCAGATACAAAGAAGGGGACCGGAGATAGGGTACGTTTTCATGTGGCAATAAACTATTATGACACTGTAGCGATTTTTCAATCATATTATTTATAAAATGATAAAGTTTGTTGCCAAAAAATCAAAATTGTCACATTACTGTCATGATAGTTATAATGTGAAAACTAAAATTTTTCATTGACACGACATTGGATTGACAAATTGCTAGTAGGTTTGATTTTCTAGTAACATTTTAGTATTAGGAAACTCACTTAAAATGTAGAATTAAGGTTTAAGAAGGGCATGTGTAATCCTATGTTTTAATGAATAACTTGCTTTTTTTGCCTTTCTGTAATTTTATACGTACTGTCAGGCATGAAAATGTTCCTACACCCCGTAAAAAAAGGCATTTTAAAGGAGAGAAAAAATAACTTTGTATAATATCATTTATTTAATTTATTAACACATGAGGTAATATTAATTATTCTATAACATGATAGAAATATTTTAATAAATAAATGAGGAAACGAATTATGCATCTCACAAAAGTGTTCGTACAGTCTACTTTTTTAACATTACAAGTTATACTAGTATTTTATCAGGTCTCCTGTTATTTCTAACATAGCTTTTAATCTCTTTGTCATAAAATGCACTAATTCTGCAATGAAATAAGGAAACCGTGTAGCACCAATCACAGTCAAGAATAAAGCGCGAGGTCTTTTAGCAAGAAATTACCCATAATTCATTTTTAAATACGGAAGTGTGTTTGTCCATATCCGCAATTTCTTTATTTACGATCCTATACCTATGCCTAGAAGTATTAAGCGTTTTTCGAATTTATAGGTAATGTATTATAACATACTTATTCGTTTAATTTGTACATGAATTTTATTTAACCATGTATTCAATGTTTAAGTATAAATATGTATTCTGAAAAAAGAAAACTATTTGAATATAGTCAAACTGAATACGCTACTAACGCCATAACAGTGCACTAATTTAACGCATGCGTGAACCATTTAGCTTAAGCAGGTAAATTTTGTGTCCTACCACATTTTCAAATGCGTTTTGTATCGGTTCCCGGCGTCGGTGGGACGAAAATTGTGTGTTATAATTGTTGAATAACGTTCCCAGCATTGTAAGTTCATACAAAATATGATTTAATTACCTTAAAATCTTCTTAAAATTATATACTTTTATTGAATTTACTTTATAAAAAGATTGATTTATACTTTGTAACATGGAAGGAAATTTGATACAAATTCGTAATATATCCTTTTTGGTTTTATATCGTTTTTACTAAAAAATGAAAAGAAATTTGTTTCAAAATAATTTTCTATTAATAGCCTTGTACTTTTTATAGTAATTAAATGTAAGTATTTTATTTTGATACATTGTTACGAATTTGATATTTTTTCTTTCAGTTCTGCTTAAGCATATCGTTTTGATTATTAAATTTCGTTAACATATGTATATCGCTTAACTTTCGATTTATTAATTCTATTAATTTTTCTTTATAATATAAAGTTATACAATCATTATTAAGAGGAATTCCGTTGTTTGATTGACCTCTGAAAAAGTATTTAGACTTCAAGCATGTGCTTGTATACTTAACCTTGAAATCGGCATAATGTTTATATATTTTTCGATATAAAGAAACACGAACTTGGAATAGTTAATTGGCCATTGAAAGAGATATTTTCAATTAATTAATTAAATAAAATCTGAAGGAAAAATGTAACACATGTAAAAAAATAATTGACAAATTTTTGAAAGCAAATTAATAAATTTAAAAATATTTAAAAGTGTAAAAGAATTATAATTTTTATGTTTTAAAAATGTATTCAGTTATATGTAAATTTGTAAATAATTGTCATTTTCAAGTAAAAAAATTTTGTTATATAAAATTAGTGTTTCCTCTTATAATTTGTTAATTGTACTTCACGTTTTGATTGATACATTATTGATGATACAACTGAAAAATGGGTGCTTCATAAAAAAAATAAATTGAAAATGTAGAATAAAGATTTTGCAAACAAGCATTTGTTTTTATGACAAATAATTTAAAAAAATTTATGTGGCACATTTGTATTTAACTGACAATTAATGTATTAAAATGTGCTTTGCTTTTGAGCATTTTGTACTTGATACGAACTATTGAAGACAAAATCTTATTCCCTGCTTTTGGCTTATTTTTAATAAAGATCACCTTGTTTTTGGTTGCAGAGTATTACCTGAGAAGTAACACTTCACCTAATATTTTATCACTAAGCACATAAAATTCATATTATGAATTACACCAAAACTCATAGTTTATTATTGTTCAGACTATACTGATTGTATCTCTTTTACTCTCATATCTGATATGTACAAAAACAAGTTTGTTCAGTCTAACTTTTCAGACAACACTGTATCATCATTAAGAGGTCACTTTGTGCATATATATTTTTTAATTACTATAACATTTTTAAAAGTATTAGGTAAACCATGTCCAGTGGAGGAGGAGGAGAAAGAGGAGCCGGCCCAAGTAAGGGTCGTGGCCGATCACGAGGCCAAGATGTTCGTAAACAGGGTACGCAGGGACCTGGTGGGCAACCATTTACAAGTGGTACGGGTCGTAGGCCTGGACCTCCAGCCCAAGCAGGACCATCTACTCAAACACCGTATAGTAGACCACCGGTATGTCAAAGAACCAATAAGAAAATAGATGTAATTTTTGTCAACTTTAGTGTTTTAAACTTTTATTCTTTCATAGATAATTAGTGTAACTAATATTCTATGTTAGTGTATACTAGTGTATATTAGTGTAACGTATTCTTTTCGCTGTTCTATTTACATATATTAAGGAAACTATAGTTTAAAAGGTAGTATGTTTGTTAGAAGAAATATTAATTACAAAAGAGGTATTTAAATATCTACTGTTTTTTTAAACAAAGTTTCCAGTTAGTTTATTTAAAATGCATCAGGTGCCAGAGATTTTCTATTGAATTGGTGTATACAGGGTGTTCGGCCATCCCTGGGAAAAATTTTTTGATGGGGGATTCTAGAGGCCAAAATGAGACGAAAATCAAGAATACCAATTTGTTGATGGGGGCTTTGTTAAAAAGTTATTAACGTTTAAAGTTCCGCCCATACTGAATTTTTTTCTCGAAAATGTGCAGGATTTCGGGGGTATGTCTATTCAGCAAAAATGATTGTAATTGACCCCCGCAACCGAAAATAATTTTTCCAGAACGATTTAAAATTTTTGAATTTAATTGTTAATAACTTTTTGACGAAGCCTCCATCAACAAATTGGTATTCTTGATTTTCGTCTTATTTTGGCCTCTAGAATCCCTCATTAAAATTTTTCCCAGGAGTGGCTGAACATCCTGTATATACAGTAATGAACAAAAATAAAATTCTTTTATTATTGAAAAATCTATAGTTCTGTAAAAAGAAACTAAATCTATTAAGATAATTTGTCTATCATATGTTGTTCCTATATATGGATCTATTTGCAGACACACGTTTACTTTATTTGCAATATATTCAAAAAATATATTTTTTTCATTCATTCGATTTCCAATCTTTCTATAAACCATGTTTCTGGGCATATTTCGATTAACAGCTTTTGGACATTCTGTGACGACGAAAAATCGACGAATGATATTAATTAAGTTTTAATACACGAAACGACACTATGCTTTTTGCTCATGATTGTACACAACGGTGATATGATACATGAATGGGCTGGTAAGTCGAGGCAGTTGCTTACGTTCGCATTTATTTTTGCAACGCAATGAAACGACGTTTACTTTTGTTAAATATCTAACGGCGACACGATACGAGAATATGCACCTTGAGATGCATTATAGAACGAAGCCATAAATTGTATTTTACCGAGTTATTTTAACCCTCGGAGTGCGGATATTTGCAGAGCGATGCGAAGTCCGAATACAGGGTCAAATATATTATAAAGCGTGAAATTGTGAACAATTTTTTTTCTGGAAAAAATTCAACGAGAACTGATAGAAAATATAAACAACTGTACACGAGCGACGCGTGATCAGACCAGACCCGAAACGTAATGTCCAGATCCTTATATGGTAGGAAAGAAGTTAATTTTCTAAACAAAAAATACTCGTCCTTAATATTAATATGATATTATTAATTAAACATTATTAACATTATTACATAATAAAAATACAATTTAAGGTGTGAAAAACCATATTTTAACATTTAATTTATCTATTTATTATAATATACAATTTATGATGATTCTGTGTTTAAACTGTTAGAATTTAAATTAATTATAGACGATTCAATTAATGCGTCAGTATTGTGATCCAACTGCTAAAAATTTGTGTTCAATAACTTGAGCAACACATTTCACTCAGTTTTTAGTAACATGTACTACTAACTCGTGAAATAATATTTTTACATCGGGAAATCTGAACATTGTATTATTTGCTGTAATATAATTTTTAACTTGCGACCAAATCATGCGCAGGCCCTTCCTAGAGGCCCCTAAAAAGCGTCCCTGAGCAGCGACGTTCAGCAGCCGCTTATCTGCGATTACGTCAACGGTCACGTGAACTTTGTGTTTATATTTCCATCCAATCCTCGTTGAACTTATCTTTCGAACGTTCCGAATTCTTCCGTAGTGATATTATGCCATGTTCGCCAAATTGAATGCGATGGCAGCGTCCTCCCCTCTAACTTTTTTGCAGCATAATTGTTTGTTTCTGTTGGATTATTAATAAATAATCATTTACGAAACTGAATCTAACAGTGAGAAACACTATCCATTGTTTGCATACGAAGACCGTATTGGCACCATCGGGCCTAGGGGCTTGGGACTGTTTTGTCATCGAGGGCCAGAGAAATAAACATGGCGCAGGCAATGATCTAAGCGTCGCTTCACTTCTCGTTCAGTTTTAACTGACAAGGAACCTTCGCGAACGGTCCGGCTTCGATTTTGATGAAACTTTGTACACTTATAAAGCAGCCAAAAATAATTCACACGTATTTTTTTTTAGCTGCGGTAACTCTAGTTTAAGGGGTGAAACAACCCCTTGAAGGTTTGGCTCAAAACGGCTATCTCGAAAACGGAAAGTCATACGAAAAAATTGTTAATGGGCGAGGTTAATGGTTTCTTATATACAATAACATGGTGTTACAAAATTTAACAAAACACAATTTATTTATAACAAAAAAAATTTATTAACTTAATTTTTCATTTTATTGAAATTTTCATAATGACAAAAAATGACGAGGATTTTATTCCAAATCCATTGGTATGTAATATTTTAAAATTGCCGCCTACAGTTTTGCAGATTTTGATGATTTATATTTTGCGTGCACATCCACTATGGTAGTAGCCGTTCTAACTTCGATTTTAGTGAAGCATTGTAGGCTTGTACTAAATTATACAGTAACAAGTAGCAAGTAACAATAACAGTAACAAGTTTCTTAATAGCAACGAAAAGATTGTTTTTATTGCCCATCTATGACATTGTGGCAAAGGTGGAGCGATTTATAAATTATAAATATATACAGTGTGTATAGCAATTATTCTACGTAGTTCCGACAATAGTGGTACTCGTCAAAAAAATGTTTGAAACATAAAGATTTCTTAGACCATGCGAATTTAGTTATTGCCGCGTCACCGCGAATATGGCATCTTGGTTAATTTTCAACAGAATAGCAGTACGCGACAGGATTCTGGTATGCATTTGTGGTTTTCCATCTACATATTCGGATTTATACCAGGAGTATTTAATAAAATTTTGGAACCTTGGCAATGAAAATTGATCGTGGACCAGAGATTGAAGATTTATTAAGACCATTTTAAGACCTGATTAAGAGAGATTTACTTCGTAAATACTGGGCCCGCAACAGTTCTAATTCTTGATTTCTGGAGTGGTCACTATAAGAAGACGGTGAACGAAGTTACTCCTAAGGGTAAAAATGTAAAACTTTTTATAATACCAAAAGGTGGAACAAAGTACGTTCAACCATTGGATGTTTACGGTTTCCGCACTTGGAAAAATTTCGTCTGCCGATTTTCCGATATAGTTCTCGTTTTAAATCACGACATTAATCTCCACGCTAGGAATAATATAATTAAACTTCAATCTCTGGTCCACGATCAATTTTCATCGCCAAGGTTCTGTAAGAAAAAGTTCGATATCAGGATCTGGATAGCGGTCGGGCGTTTTAAATAAAATCGACACGAGTTGCTTTCTAAAACTGTAGCGTATCTCTGCTCACGGCAAAAGCCAATACAGTTCTGTACCCTGACAGAAAACTAGGGTCGTGAGGGCATCCTTGACAGTACGGTCCTTCTTTGTCTAAACATTCTGGCCGATCCTCCTTTAAGAGGGGGAGACGCGCCAAGGAGAAGCACATGGCCTGCTTCAGGCATTCCTTGTTTTCTACATTTCTAACAGTTCCAAAATTTTATTAAATACTCCTGGTATAAATCCGAATATGTAGATGAAAAACCACAAATGCATTCTAGAATCCTGTCGCGTACTACTATTCTGTTGAAAATGAACCATTGCTATACAGAATAATTGCTATACACACTGTATATATTTATAATCTATAAATCGCTACACCTTTGCCACAATGTCATAGGTGGGCAATAAAACCAAACTTTTCGTTGCTGTTAAGAAACTTGTTACTATTATTGTTACTTGCTACTTGTTACTGTATAATTTAGTGCAAGCCTACAATGCTTCATTAAAATCGAAGTTAGTGGATGTGTGCGCAAAATATAAATCATCAAAATCTGCAAAACTGTAGGCGGCAATTTTAAAATATTACATACCAATGGATTTGGAATGAAATGCTCGTCATTTTTTGTCATTATGAAAATTTCAATAAAATGAAAAATTAAGTTAATAAATTTTTTTTGTTATAAATAAATTGTGTTTTGTTAAATTTTGTAACACCATGTTATTGTACATAAGGAACCATTAACCTCGCCCAATAACAATTTTTTCGTATGTCTTTCCGTTTTCGAGATAGCCGTTTCGAGCCAAACCTTCAAGGGGTGGTTTCACCCCTTAAACTAGAGTTATCGCAGCTAAAAAAAAATACGTGTGAATTATTTTTGGCTGCTTTATAAGTGTACAAAGTTTCATCAAAATCGAAGCCGGACCATTCGCAAAGGTTCCTTGCGAGTCAAGACGTCCTTCCGAAACGTACAATAAAGTTTCACTCTTAAAGTATAAAAGAGTACTGCTTTTTCACCAATTTCCAATAGTTTCAATTATTATTTGATTTACAACTCATCGGTAAAAAATGTCTTTAAAATATCCAACAATTGTTCAACATTTGAGGATACTTGTGGTTCTGCAGATTTTTCGCTAGCTATGAATTTTCTTCTCGGTAATATTTTGCTAGATTCTTCACAAGGTGTCAATTTTGAATTATTGGAATCTTGTGGGACATCATTGTCATATTCCGATTCACTATCTGTTATTCTAATTTTTGGATTTCTTACACCTAATACTATGTTACTATCTCGTTTCTCAACAGTTCAAAATCAAATTCATCTTCATTTGGACTAATTTCACTTCTGAAATCCGTCGTTTAGGGCTTCTAGACTTAAGAAATTATAACACTTTCCAAAGCTAACGCTGGAAACGTTCTCATAAGTAATCTGTGGTTAGATATCTTATCTCCACCCTATGGTATAACGTTTCACGCTTCCTAACAAAGAACAAAGGGTTAAAGGATCTATCCACGAACCAATTCTGCGCTCTTACTAATTGGAGATTACACAATCAAACATAAACAATACTGGCGTATCATTTATAATGTTACAATATGTTTTAAATATGTAAATTATATGTGCGTTTTAAATATCCAATTTTGATCTATGAAATGTAAAGTAACTGTAATATGTGATTGCTGAAAACGGGATGTTTCTATTATAAAGTTTCTTTAATAAGTTCTATTTAAATCTTGCACTTTATTTTTGTATACAGGGTGTTCAGACACTCTTGGGAAAAATTGTAATGGGAGATTCTAGAGGCCAAAATAAGGCGAAAATTAGGAATATTAATTTGTTGATGGAAGCTTCGTTAAAAAGTTATTAACATTTCACGTTCTGCTCGTAATGAATTTTTTTTTAGAAAGTGGATAGGATTTCGGGTAGGTCTATTCACTAAAAATTATTGTAATTGACCTCCGCAACCGAAAATAATTTTTCCAGAACGATTTGAAATTTTTTAATTTTGTCGAAAAATTTCAGTATCTACTCGAATTCTTTTCTCGAAAGTGGTTAGGATTTCGAGCGTATGTCTAATGACCAAAAATGATTGTAGTTGACCCCCGCAAACGAAAATAATTTTTCCAGAACGATTTGAAATTTTTTAATTTTGTTAAAAAATTTCACACCTCGAATTTTATTCTCGAAAGAGGATAGGTTTTTGGGCGTAGGTCTATTTACTAAAAATGATTGTAGTTGACCACCGCAAACGAAAATAATTTTTCCAGAAAGATTTGAAATTTTTTAATTTTGTTAAAAAATTTCACACCTCGAATTTTATTCTCGAAAGAGGATAGGATTTTGGGGGTATGTATATTTACCAAAAATGTTTGTAATTGAGCCCCGCAACCGAAAATAATTTTTCCAGAACGATTTGAAATTTTTTTTTTTGTAAAAAAATTTAGGCACCACCCCCTTGTCGATTTTTCTTCAAAATTTGTTTCACGCTGTACAGAAAAGTTGGCTAATACTTTTCTGTAGATATCTATGGGCTCTACTTCAGAAAAAAGTTTCATTGAAATATATTCACTATTGTAAGAGTAATGGCTGTTTGAAAATTGAACCATTTTCTCACTTTACGGGTTTAAGGAACAACTTTTCGAATATTTTAGGAATCTCTACATATTCTCTACTAAAATACGCGTTGTTTGCATTTTGACAAATTAAAATCCTCCAATCCGTTCAGGAGATATGACATTTTAAAGATTCGCGTGTGGGGAAGCATTTTTAGCCTCACCTTAGATTTTCGGTCATGAATTTTTTTTCTCGAAAGTACGTAGGATTTCGGGGTATATCTATTCACCAAAAATGCTTGTAATTGACCCCTGTAACTAAATATAATTTTTTTAGTATGATTTGAAATTCATTAATTTTGTCGAAAAATTTCGATACCTACCCGAATTTGTCTCTCGGAAGTGGGTAGGATTTCGGGAGTATGTATATTTACCAAAAATGATTGTAATTGTGACCCGCAACAAAAAATAATTTTTTCAGAATAATTTGAAATTTTTAATGAAGCCTCAGTCAAGAAATTGATATTCTTGATTTTCGTCTTATTTTGGCCTCTAGAATCTCCCATTAAAATTTTTTTCGGGGGTGACCGAACACCCAGTGTATTATTCTTTTCCCTCTTCCAAATTTTATGTCGATCGATCGCTGGAGTTTTTCGGAACTACAGCCAAAAAAAAAAAATAACAGAAGAACTTGTGGACCACTTTAGTAGTAACTTAAATTATCGTCGATAGTGATGCTTAGATAACACTAAGGCTCGCACTGGACCAGTAATTCCAGAAAATGGTAATTCCAGTAGGGTCATAACTTTGTAAGAACACGAAGGACAAACTTTGTACAAACCTGACTAAGTACAGAATTTTATTGTATTTCAAGTGTTGAAATTTTTCATTGTTATACTTTATACTTCATACCTTTTCTGACATGCATTTTTATGTATATTTTTTGTAATGTAATAGAGTGCTAGCCGCGGTACGCAGCGATTGACTCCTAAAGGTGATACAGCTACACCGGGTCATTCTGCAGAAACAACAATGATGGATGGTAAGCCAAAGAATATGTAATTTCTTTTTTAAAATAATAATATTTCTGTTTATTGTTAATATTTTCATATAGGTAGATTAATTATTAATATATTAAAATATATTTATAGTAGTGACTGAAGGTGGAGACGTTGGTACCTTAGGCAGAGGTGCAATGAGAGGGCGACGTGTTCTGGTAGTTGAACCTCATACAAGGCCAACAAACTTAGTTACTAAAAAAGGTTCATACGTTCAAGATTTTGCATTTGGATAGCGTATAATACACTTTACACATAAAATGTATATTATACGAACATTGTTATTTTTAGGTACAACCGGAACACCTATTTCTTTGCAAACGAATTACTTCAAGATGCTGGCGACAACCGATTGGTGTCTGTATCAATACAGAGTCGATTTTTCACCTGAAGAAGATCGAACGGTTGTCCGAAAGGGACTAGTAAGAGTTCATAAAGAAACTTTGGGCGCATACGTTTTTGATGGGACACTCCTTTACACTAGTCAGCGTTTATCAGATGTAAGATTCTTTTAGCAAAGAAAATTTGATCGGTTATATTTTGTGTATATTTAATATTTCAGAAATTAGAACTTTGGTCTGCTCGACAATCGGATGATACAAAAATCAGAATTTCTATACGTCTTGTTGGAGATTTGGCCAAAGGTGATCAACAATACATCTCATTTTTCAACATAATTATGCGAAAGTGTTTGGATCTTTTGAAACTTCAACTCGTTGGTCGTGATTATTTTGATGCGCGTAGTAAAGTAAGTAAATAAGTGTATTAATGATTTAATGTAGAAGTACAGTGGTGCTTTGGATATTGACCGACGTTCGGAATCGAAACTGGCTAAAGTTGAAGGGAAACAGGATTTTCCAGGAAATCCTGTATTTCCTTTTTTTCGAGAGTTCGAGTGAGATAGAGGTAGATAACACGGCACATTGATATATCACAGTAGATTTAAAAACATAAACATACTTGACCGCAGGAACAAGTTCCAAGAACTGGTAGGAATAGCAACTGACCAATTTCTAAGGCATCATTGTACTTACATTTTAGTACTTGTTGTTTTAATACGTATATTTAATATCACCTTATGTTAATGTGTTATATGTATATATTTTTTTTTATATTAATTTCTAATATTTCTATTTATGAATTATACGGTTCGACACGAATTTTGTTTGCAACGTGCATTGGATGCTTTTTGTACCATTCTTCCACGAGTGTTTACATCCTCACTCCCGTTGCAGTCCGCTGACTCAAAGGTATTGGTTAAAAACGGCGACGAAGATCGGTGACAGCCAATCAGCGGACTGCAGCAAGAGTAGGGTTGTAAACACGCTCTGCCTTCTTCTCGTGGAAGGACGATACAGTTTTTTGTCTTGAATACGAATTTGCAAGCAAAATTGCTATATCACCTTCAGTTTACGAAAATATCGTGATTTTGAACAAAAATAAAGTATTGCGTGAAGACAAAAAAGGCTAGAAAGACCTTGTTGTATATGATGCTACTAGTACACTTCATTTCTTCTGTCAAAATTAAAAGTAATTAATACGATTCCTAATAATTTCGCGATTAAAGTAAGGCGATATTAAATACATATATTAAAACGGCAATTATTAGAATGTAATTAAAATTTGTTGTACAGTGTTATGTGACACGTGTTTATAATTACAACGCAGGTTGAAGTTCGTGAATTCAGATTAGAACTTTGGCCTGGATATCTTACATCTATAAGACAACATGAAAATGATATTCTCATGTGTTCAGAAATAACACATAAAATCATGCGTCAGCAAACTATATTAGATATATTAAATGATTGTTATCAACAGAATCGTAATGACTATAAGGTAGGCATGTTAATTATTGATAATATGCCTTTATATAGGCTTATTTAGGTTTAGCTATGTATTTATATCAAATTACGTTTATGTTTAGCATTTATTTGAAAGTCAAATTATTGGTCTCGTTGTGCTTACTGATTACAATAACAACACATATCGTATATCCGACATTGACTATAGTACAAATCCTAATTCTACGTTTAAATTACGAACTGGCGAAAGTATATCGTACAAAGATTATTATAAAAATAAGTACCAAATTAGAATACATAATGACTCTCAGCCAATGCTTGTGACAAAATTGAAACCAAGAGAGCGTCGTGCTGGGCAAGCTGAATTCGTGTATCTTGTTCCTGAATTGTGTCGGGCAACGGGTATATTTTTCAAATTATTTTCATTCATAGAGATTTTCAAGTCTACAACAATTATTGCATTTCACAACGAATGATTTTTATTGCAGGACTCACCGACAATATGAGGAATAACTTCCACTTAATGCGTGCTTTGGCAGAACACACTCGTGTATCTCCTAGATCGCGTACAGACAAATTAATAGTTTTCAATAGGAGATTGCGCTCTGAAAATGCAATAGTCAAAGAACTTAATGAATGGAATCTTAAACTTGACGATAAATTAGTTAATTTGTCCGGACGTGTTTTGGCACCGGAAAATATTGTGGTTGGAGGGGGTAGAGCAGTGTCTGCTGGACAGGTTGCAGATTGGACCAGAGAACTATTTAATAAGTCATTGTTTAATCCAGCTAAGTTAAGTGATTGGGTGGTAATTTGCACGCATCACGTAAAACGCGATATGGAGGTAAGATATTTTAAGTCTTCATGAAATTATGTTTTGTTTTTTACCATTACATATCTATTATTTTGTTAAATATACATTGTATTTTATAGGCATTCGTTGGCACTCTCAAAGACTCAGCGAGGGGTATGGGATGTAGAATTGAAAATCCTAGATATTGGGATATAAATGACGATAGATCAAATACTTATTCAGAAACCTTAGAAAGAATAATGAGTACTTCTAATCCGGAGCTAGTGTTTTGTGTTGTATCAAACAATCGGGCTGATCGATACAGCGCGATAAAGAAGAAATGTACTGTTGATCGGCCTGTACCGTCACAAGTTTTCCTCATAAAAAATCTCAAGTCGAAAGGTTTGAGATCAATAGCTACGAAAGTAGCAATTCAATTAGTATGCAAACTAGGTGGTGCTCCATGGAGCGTTGAATTGCCACCGATTAATTTAATGGTTGTCGGTTTTGATGTGTGCCACGATCCAAATAATAAAGGACGTGATTTTGGTGCAATGGTTGCATCATTAGATAAAAATTTGACAAGATATTTCAGTGCAGTAAGCGCACACACTACGGGAGAAGAACTATCTAACGAGTTCTCTGTAAATTTAACAAAAGCGTTGTATAATTACAGACAAATGAACAAAATTTTGCCATCGCACATAGTAATTTATCGCGACGGTGTTGGTGAGGGTCAAATACATCAAGTTTATACACATGAGGTAGAACAGTTAAAATCTGTATTGAGTGATATTTATGGTGACCCGGCTTTGGTCAAAATGGCATTTGTGATAGTTACAAAACGCATAAATACTCGCTTTTTCTATAAGCAGGATAATCCTCCACCGGGTACAATAATCGACGATGTCGTTACTATTCCAACCAAGTACGACTTTTACGTTGTGTCTCATTATGTGAGACAGGGCACGGTAACACCGTGTTCGTATAATGTCATTGCAGACACGACAGGCTGGAAAGCCGATCAGTTACAAAGAATTACGTACAAATTAACCCATATGTACTATAACTGGTCTGGTAGTGTAAGAGTACCGGCCCCTTGCCAATATGCTCACAAATTGGCATTCTTGGTGGCCCAATTTATACACCGACCACCAAGTACGCAAATGGAGAACCTGCTGTACTTCTTATAACTGTTGTTTGTAATAAACCATATACTGTTTTTGTATGGACTATTAGAAATTACAGATAATACATGAACAGTATTAAGATACTAACTTTATACAAAATACCTCAGTTACTTTAACGAGAAGTCGTAAGTAAGATTTTCTATTTCCATAGATGATCATTAAACGAAATCTTAGAAGGGCAGGAATAACAGTACAAGTCAAAAAACAATTTTTTAGAGGAGCAAAAAAACTGTATAGTACGAAACATTTTGGTTTCAAAATTGTTATAAAACCAGTTCTATTCTATACTATACAGCAAGCTTCGAGTTGTACTCATTTGACCATTCATAGATATCGAGTTGACAATGTGAAATATGTACTTATTCTGATTCTGCACAAAATTGACTTGTACTCTTATAGGGGTCCAACAAAGAAATTATTTTGAAATTTTTCTTTCTATATATACACATATATAGTATATATATATATTATTGAATACGTTTTTATACTAAAATAATATTTTAATTTCATTTAATTTTTGCCTTTCACATAGATATAAAGGCTCTTCATTTTTATGTAAGTTACATAAAATGTTCAGTTTTTTTTTTTTTTATCAAATTTAATCTACGAAGTTAATGGTTCAATTATATTGATTATTACCTTTTATTATTGGAAAAGCAAAATACATTTTAGTTGTTTGATACTATTTGAAAAGTCGACAGACGAGTCAGTGCTTACTACTTTTAAGTTTAAGTTCTATTATGTTCCAAATAAAAGTTTAGTAATACATTATGCTTTAATACACTTTTAAGTAATAAACCTTAGTGATTGATTTCACTTTTATTTCATTAGTGTATTTCCTTCTATTATTACTGCTAACACTTATTTTGTATTAATGTTAATCATAGTCACATAGTCTTTCAACTGAAGTCATCAGTGTCATTCTATTAGTCGGAAAACTACACCTTATGATAAATAAAACTATGTTAGATACAGTAGTATCAAATGTAAAATGTTACCTATATATTTTTTATTTAAATAATGTGACATCTATTTTTATAATTATATACAAAATTAAAATATTTTTAAGAGGATCGCTGTTGATTACTCTATTTTTCCCAATTTTTTCATATGCTTTGAATAATATCTTCAATGTATGGAATAGACGTATGCTACAATGATCGCAACTGGGCATTATGCTTTTCATTTCACACTTCATGTGCTTGATTTATTTTACCACGATACGTGTTCTTGATATAAAAATATGATTATCCTTAATAAATGTTTATGAAAAAAGAGGAAAAGAATGGGTAAGTAATAATTATGTAACAAGATGTTCATTTGAATGTTATTCAAAAAGTTGCTAGTTTTTAAAAATAAAAATCGATTCTTTTCGTATATTATTCAGTTTTTAATACATTCTGTATTTTTCTTTCTGCATTGTTTTCTGATTGATATTGAAATTTCCAATAAATAAATGTTGAATGGAAAAATGTTTGAAGTTTGAAATAGTATTGAACCAAGTATCACTTTAAAACTGGTAGAAAGTATGTGCCAGATCAATTAGATGCTATAATAAGATACAAAGGTAGACTCATGAAACATGTATTAGAAAATGAATACAAAGTAAAAAATTTTTGGACAAAATATGCACTGGTGTGAATGCTTGTGGACTATTATTATGTACGGTGCAGAGTAAAATCAATATATTTATGTTATTAGTTAATTAATTTTGTTATAATTTGGTACAAATAAACTTTACACATGTGTTCAATTATAGTAAAAAGTTTATTGCAAAATTTCAACAAATTTCTTCCATAAGCAATGAATGAGAGTACGAATACTTGTGGGACTAACTGTAGATTGAAAGGAGGATTTAATAATTTATTGTCCCCAAAGTCGTGAGTGTCGGCCCCTTGAATATTGCGTCTAGCCGTCCTTTTTCCCAGGATACATCAAGAAGGCAACATAATCGTAAAGTTCTCGATGTGTTAGGAATAAAATATACCTTTTTACCAAAAATGTGGTTGGGGACGTGGCATAACAATAGCTATTATACATGTACAATTTATAATGTGTCTATTAATTTTCAAAAACTATCAATAGTTACAACCAAATCACAGACAAGATATACGAATATACATATAAGCATATATGTAGACCTTGCATCTTATGGACTTTCGTGGCCCAAACTGACTGTCATACCGACCTAAGAATTGAGAGGTGATTTTAAGGGGGTAGGCACGGCACGTGACCTCGCCGATTCGGCAGGTCGGTATTACAGCAGATATTCTCTGCACAGAAATGGTAATACCATCAGATACGCTGCCGCCTAAAGAAATCAGAGGCAGCTGCTTGCTATTGCCATATACCATTCCGAACAGTGTGACCAATCGACAATAGTAACGGCGAACTTCCTTAGCGTCTAACAGAGTGGTGGGGATAGCAGGTATACATATACTACTAACCCAGCCCTCGATTCTACGGCTGTATTTCGTTCATTTTTTCCTCGACTTTCGACGTTTATATTAATAAATGTGAACAGAATCTCGTTCGATTTTGACCAGAGCGCACTGCATTGGACCTTCCTCTTTCGAATGAGACCTCATCCGACCCAAAAGCTGCTCATATAAGGGCAAAATCTCTTATTTCGACATAATTGAGTACATCGAAATCGACAGTAATGACGGCGAACTTCCTTAGCGTCTAACGTAGTGAAATAAAGAACGCTAGTGTGAGCCTTTCCTTCTTGCTCTTGTAAAAGAGAAACAACTGAAATACGACCTCGCGATAAGCGGCATACGATTCCAAGCCTCGACTGCCCCAGCATTTTTACTTTCCGACCTATGTAAGGTACAATAAGGAAATTTATGAAGTATCATAATGTAAAAAAAATGTCGAAATTTTTTTTTAGCGGAAATACACGTTTTAGGACCCCCTGATCATATTGTGACTATTAAAAAAAAAGACTTTTTTTTTTGTTCCTATTACATATAAACGGCTGAATGAATTTCAATGAAACTTTACATTTCAGTTTTATGTTCTCGTTTCAAGGTCTGATTAGATTTTGAGCGTGATCAGCCCCCGGATAATGATGATTATACGACTTTTAGTTTTATAATTATTTCGATACATATACATTATTTGTAACAAATTTTGGCAATTATTTAGAAAAGGGGGAGGTCTCACCGATTTTGATGATTTTTAAATATGTTGTAAAAATCAACATTTTGAACAACTTTTTCCTATACATATAACCACCGCTGGCCTTATTTTTCGAGATTTTTTTTCAAAAAGATTGCTGCTACTGCAATGAATTTTGTCTATATGTACATGTCCGTGACTCTGTATGCGTCAGTCCACGACTTTTTTCCTCGACTTTCGACGTTTATATTAATAAATGTGAACAGAATCTCGTTCGATTTTGACCAGAGCGCACTGCATTGGACCTTCCTCTTTCGAATGAGACCTCATTCGACCCAAAAGCTGCTCATATAAGGGCAAAATCTCTTATTTCGAAACCCCCTATTTCGGGCCAAATTGTGTCGGTTTACAGCGCGCTGCATTACCCGTGCCTACCCCCTTAATGCCTTTTCATTGCGATCAGTTGAGAAACTATTCGCTACAGACTGTAGGTGTGTATAACCACAAAGAAGGTATCGTCCTTTCACGAGAAGAAGGCACAGCGTGTTTACATCCCCACTCTTGCTGCAGTCCGCTAATTGGCTGTCATAGATCTTTGTCACCGTTTTCGACCAATACCTGTGAGTCAGCGGACTGCGACAGGAGTAGGGATGTAAACACGCTGTGCCTTCTTCTCGTGGAAGTACGGTATATACCAACAGATTCAGAAATGAATTTTAATCCCTTCCATAGTCAATTGATATGTATTTACGCACGCACTACAACTGTCTGCCCATCAGTACTAATTCAGAAAATAGTTTCTCAACTGATTGCTATCCATGAGAAGAGGACGTTAAAAAAATCATAGACGAGGTATACCTCGTCTGTGCTTTCACCTTATGGACTTTCGCGGCCCAATCTGACTGCCATACCGACCTGAAAATTCGGAGGTGATTTTAGCGTCCTCTTCTCATGAATGGCGGTCAGTTGAGAAACTCACTGAATTAGTGTGATAGGCAAACAGCTAGTGGTGTGTAAATGCATATCAATTGAGAAGTACGAATTATTCGTGATTCTTTGACTAGTTAAAGTTGTAAATAATTTGCATGTAATCATCGAAGTGAGTAATTTTAACAAATTCAAGAATCTTGTCATCTGTTACTATAAATCGACAAAAGTGTGAGTTATATTTAATTTGTACATTATATCGCCATCCATCAATATGATTCTAAAGTGAAGATATTTACGTTGATCTAGTAAGTCTTCGTTCTCTTTTCTTGTATCCGTGGTTTCTATCTGAGGCATCCCTCGGTTCGTCATACAAGCTTCGCGAGACATCGGTCCTTCCATCACCCCGCCACCTAATTCGCGAGCGTTACCGAACACAGCGAAGGGCCATCATTCATATTCTGAAAATAAACATAGCAAGACGTGTCAAGACGATCGGCGTTTCGCGACCGAGGTGCGTAATTCTAACCTGTTGATCTTTCCATTATTACTACTCGCATTTTAATTACGATCTCTTGCAATACGGTTTTGATTTAATCAGTACTTAATTATAGTAACTGTTTATGTACTTGAATGGATCTTCATTTCGTTTCTGTTACAGTCTCTTATTGGAATACGAAATCAAGAAATTCCTTTTCGAAATACAGGAGATAATAAGACGTGTTGAAACATTTCAAGACGTGTCGGCGTTTCGCGACCAACCAAGTACGTATTTCTAACTTTTTGATATTTCCTCATTATTGTTAGTTATTGTTTAATTATGATTTAATTTGTATTTTATTTCTGTTGAAGTCCCTGATTGAAATTCGACGTCATGGAAAGTTTTATTGGCGCGTAAACGACACCATAACAGATTGCAGGCAACTCGACAAATTTTGGAGGGAATATTGGTAACGTTTAAACAATTATAACAAAAATTAACATCCACATTAATATTTATATATTTTTATTTCTTTATTAAACTATTCGTTGCAAGCATGATCATAATTTTCCAATTGGCCATTGTTAAGATAAAATATAAAAATCGTTAACAAACTTTTTATCCATTTCGATATATATCGAAATACACAGAAATGGCATCGGCAGATATCACCGATACATTGGAATAGTTTATATTTAACTGTATGATCGGGATTGAATATTTCTGAGTGATATTTATTTAATTGATTGTTTATATTTCTTTCTTTATGAATTATTGTAATTACAATACCCATATATATTTCGATACCAGTTTCAGAAAACGTAGTAACTGCGGAGTTGGAATATGCTATTCAAGTATAAATAACCAACGAACTTTAATTCTTGCAAATTTCGGAATATTTATAAAAATTACGGGATATTCTAACATTCGATAAAGTAAACATAACCATGCTTACAACTTTAATTATGAAACTTGGTGATATAATATTGATAAATTGAATAATTGTACGTAATTATTTTCGTAGATAATATTTTGTCATTGAAATTCTCATTGATTGAGAATATGTATTTCGCCTTCGTGGCATTGAACTTTTACGTGGCAAACTACGTATACAGTAGTACTAAGTAAAGCAGTAATTCTGTTGTCAGCTCTAGAAAGAAGAAGAAAAAAGGAAACCAGTAGGCAAAGCACAGGTGTGCTTTTTGTATTTCTTCCATCCTGTCCCATTTTTTTCAGTTCTTTTTTTCCAGGGTTGGCCGCGCGCAATGCGGCCGGTAGATTCAGTGATTGCGCGTAGTAACAAGTTTGTTTCTCGGGGCAAAGTGACCCCAAGTATGTACGTTGTCGTTTAAGGTGTTAGGCAAACGCGAGAATAGAAGCAGTGTTTCTTACGCAACTTTAAATTATTTCCAGAGCATCGTGACTCTCCTTGTTTTATGAACCGCGAGAATAGAATCATTTGTTCGCCGATATGAATCTTCAGTCGCGGTAATCTAGCTTAATAAACTTTATTACATTTTCTCTTTGAAATTAAAACTTTTCGTTACCGGTACTAGAGTCAGTGCATCAATGAAGAGGAGTGCTCCACGAGCGAACAACGTAAGTATAAATTTATACTTTGAAATTTTTAATTAAAAATCTCTACAATTTTAACAATAAATTCTAATTGTTTTCTTGCATTCTTTTTACAGTCTCTAAACCTGATCCTGGACCTGAACCTAACCAGCCGGACCATGCTGACTGAGGAATGACAGATGATTTCCATTCATCATTGGTGAGTTACACGTTGTTTGTGTTCCTCTGGTCCCCAACAATGTTGTAGGATGAAAGATCCGAATCAACACGGGTGACCAGTTGTATACTTGGTTTTTTGGACGAGTTAAGTGATCGCGGGTATTTTCAATACCCGTGAGTAGTAACATCAACTGTTATATTTTTTAGAGCAGATTTGAGGGTCTGCTTGTACTCGCGTTTCTTAATGTTACAAATAAATATTACACATTATGATTACTATAAAATTGTTATAAACACATATAACACAATTTTTATAAATTATATGAAATATTTTTAGTAACTTTAAATGAATTACATGATTGAGTAGAAAATGAATTAATACAATGTGAAAACATTATATTTATGATTGAGTAGAATATGAATGTTAATTAATACGACATTGTACAATAATATTTACAACATTAATATAATCATTAAATATTGATCGTTTACTTAATTAATACGTCGTATGATGTATTTAACGTGCAAGAAGGCATTTCGCGAGAATGAGAACCGTGGAGTGTTTGTTTGCTTGATTGAGTTTTGCAAATTTTTAAATATAGGGTTAGGTAGGTAGGTAACTTTCTGGCGTGTGTGAGCTTAATCTAACTAAGTAGGTAGGGCCAGGGCAGAGCTGTCACATTAGTTATTCGGGTAGGCGCGTTTTCGCGTGGCAGTTCTGTTCCTGTAGTTACGATTTCGAGAGTAGAAATCTTGCTGATTCAAACTAGAGTTTCTGATTTTGAACGTGTATTGAAGATACACGTGTACACGTGTACACGTGTAGTTAATATATGCGTATCTTAATCCGTGTACTTTTCAATACACGGGTACACGGGTATTGAAATACACGGATACACGTGTATTGAAATATATGGGTACACGGATCATAATATCTATACATGTATCCGTTTATTGAGGTTCGCGGATACACGTGTCGAAATGTACTGTTCCACATGTATTACCCGTACCGCAAGTTTTATTTTATAATTAAATATCAGAATATTTAGATGTGTAAATTGTTTATGAGACTTAATTTACTGGGTAGTAGGTGAAAATAAGAAACATTATGGTTTTGGTTAATAAAGTTCAATTTATTAAATTTTTGTTTTGAAATAAGAAAACTAAGGTGTTAACATTCTCTGGAAGCAAACGGTTTCTTTTTTTTGTGACAATATTTCCAGCACATGAAAAGCATCGTTCCGACATCGCTGAGGTTGCTGGAATTGTTAAATATTTTTTGGCAACTTCGGAAATTGCTGGATATTTGTTTGTCCTAGCTTTCCACCATTCAAATGGATTTAAGTCAAAGCGTAATTGTGGCTCGGTCATATATGTTTCAATTTGAATATAAACATCATTTTTATCGGTGATTTCGTTGTATAAAAATTCAAGAGCAGATTTATCATGTGCCTTTGCTGTATTTACTGTATTTACTGTATGTACTGCATTTACTACATCCGAGTTTTGAAGCAATCGTTTTGCTTCTGTACGAATTATTTCTTTTACGTCAGACGTTTCGTGTTCCAGATTTTTATATCTTGGATCAAAAAAACAGGATATATGGTTTAACGAAAGAGTATCACCTTCGATCCATTCAAGTTTGAAACGTCTCGTAAGTTCTGAAATTATAGTTTTTTTGAATATACACAAAAGCGTGTCGTCATCGTTGTTTAAATTTAAGTGTTTTTCGATCAATTTTTTGATTAATGGTCTCACCATTGAGATAGGAGAGTGGCTTTCTCCACAAAAAAGTGTTGTTATAATTTGCAGCGGTTTTAAAATATTTAAGAGAGACTCTATTATTGTCCATTGTTTTTCATTTATTTCTAGAGATTGTGCTACCCTTGCATTAGTAATGGCTCTATCTGCAATAACATTTGATATTGCACATCTATTTGTATATAAACTGTCTAACATAAAATACGTGGAGTTCCAACGTGTAGAGCAGCTTTGTATTAATGTATTTTTTGGCAAAGAAAGCTGTACTTGTTTTTCCTGTAATGCATGTTTCGCAACATTTGAATGTTTAAAATGTCCTACCATTTTACTGCATGTATCGATTATTTGTTGTACGGTTTTTTCTTTTAATGCATGATTTACAGCTAATTGCACACTGTGTGCTGCACATGTTACGCTATAAATGTTGGTGTTGTCCGATACTTCCGATAACAATGAGATAGCATTTACCATATTTTTGGCATTGTCTGTTACAATGGCTACTACTTTCGAATTAATTTCCCATTCTTCGAGAGTTCTCTGTAGCTCATCTGCGAGGTTTTGGGCAGTATGGCGTTCTTCCATCTCATATACACTCAAAACAAAACTGTCTGTGCCCCAATTGGAATTAATAATATGTACAGTTATCGCAATGTACGAATCCTGTGCTAACGATGACCAACAATCGGATGTACACACTACATTTTTAACAGCGTTTAATTGTTCCCTTATCTTTGTCACGACCGTACTCTTCAGACCCATTAATCTTTTTTTCATTGCTTCGTCTTTGCATATTTTATAATTTGGCTGCACTACAGACATAAACTCTTGAAAACCATCGGATGAACAGAAAGAAATAGGTAACTGATTTTTGGCAATTAATTTTGCTACTGCCTGGTGTATTTTTTCCGTTTTCGCAGGATCGTATAAACGAATGTTTGAAGTCTGACAGTTTAAAATAGACAGTCTTCGACGTTTTTTTGGTGGTTGCGAATCGGTAATTTGAAATACGCTTTTCAAATGGCGAAACGCAACCACCAAAAAAACGTCGAAGACTGTCTATTTTAAACTGTCAGACTTCAAACATTCGTTTATGCGATCCTGCGAAAACGGAAAAAATACACCAGGCAGTAGCAAAATTAATTGCCAAAAATCAGTTACCTATTTCTTTCTGTTCATCCGATGGTTTTCAAGAGTTTATGTCTGTAGTGCAGCCAAATTATAAAATATGCAAAGACGAAGCAATGAAAAAAAGATTAATGGGTCTGAAGAGTACGGTCGTGACAAAGATAAGGGAACAATTAAACGCTGTTAAAAATGTAGTGTGTACATCCGATTGTTGGTCATCGTTAGCACAGGATTCGTACATTGCGATAACTGTACATATTATTAATTCCAATTGGGACACAGACAGTTTTGTTTTGAGTGTATATGAGATGGAAGAACGCCATACTGCCCAAAACCTCGCAGATGAGCTACAGAGAACTCTCGAAGAATGGGAAATTAATTCGAAAGTAGTAGCCATTGTAACAGACAATGCCAAAAATATGGTAAATGCTATCTCATTGTTATCGGAAGTATCGGACAACACCAACATTTATAGCGTAACATGTGCAGCACACAGTGTGCAATTAGCTGTAAATCATGCATTAAAAGAAAAAACCGTACAACAAATAATCGATACATGCAGTAAAATGGTAGGACATTTTAAACATTCAAATGTTGCGAAACATGCATTACAGGAAAAACAAGTACAGCTTTCTTTGCCAAAAAATACATTAATACAAAGCTGCTCTACACGTTGGAACTCCACGTATTTTATGTTAGACAGTTTATATACAAATAGATGTGCAATATCAAATGTTATTGCAGATAGAGCCATTACTAATGCAAGGGTAGCACAATCTCTAGAAATAAATGAAAAACAATGGACAATAATAGAGTCTCTCTTAAATATTTTAAAACCGCTGCAAATTATAACAACACTTTTTTGTGGAGAAAGCCACTCTCCTATCTCAATGGTGAGACCATTAATCAAAAAATTGATCGAAAAACACTTAAATTTAAACAACGATGACGACACGCTTTTGTGTATATTCAAAAAAACTATAATTTCAGAACTTACGAGACGTTTCAAACTTGAATGGATCGAAGGTGATACTCTTTCGTTAAACCATATATCCTGTTTTTTTGATCCAAGATATAAAAATCTGGAACACGAAACGTCTGACGTAAAAGAAATAATTCGTACAGAAGCAAAACGATTGCTTCAAAACTCGGATGTAGTAAATGCAGTACATACAGTAAATACAGTAAATACAGCAAAGGCACATGACAAATCTGCTCTTGAATTTTTATACAACGAAATCACCGATAAAAATGATGTTTATATTCAAATTGAAACATATATGACCGAGCCACAATTACGCTTTGACTTAAATCCATTTGAATGGTGGAAAGCTAGGACAAACAAATATCCAGCAATTTCCGAAGTTGCCAAAAAATATTTAACAATTCCAGCAACTTCAGCGATGTCGGAACGATGCTTTTCATGCGCTGGAAATATTGTCACAAAAAAAAGAAACCGTTTGCTTCCAGAGAATGTTAACACCTTAGTTTTTTTATCTCAAAACAAAAATTTAATAAATTGAACTTTATTAACCAAAACCATAATGTTTCTTATTTTCACCTACTACCCAGTAAATTAAGTCTCATAAACAATTTACACATCTAAATATTCTGATATTTAATTATAAAATAAAACTTGCGGTACGGGTAATACATGTGGAACAGTACATTTCGACACGTGTATCCGCGAACCTCAATAAACGGATACATGTATAGATATTATGATCCGTGTACCCATATATTTCAATACACGTGTATCCGTGTATTTCAATACCCGTGTACCCGTGTATTGAAAAGTACACGGATTAAGATACGAATATGTTAATTACACGTGTACACGTATACAGGGTATTTCACCTAACTTGACCACCTTAAATATATCGCTTATTTTATATGATAGAAAAAAATGTCAAGGGGAGAAAGTATTCTGTTCGAAGGCGCCAATACGGTGATGGATCGAATTTTTTTTTCAAGGTCATTTTTTTCGAGATTTCAAGGTCATCGTATTTTTTTTAAATGGGACCACATATTTTCGCTACAACAGTCTTATAGCTTATAAAAAGACGAATCCAACGATGTGCGATATGTTGACCTTCACGTGACCTTTAGCGAAGGAATTATGAAATGTTTGTCAGTAACTTCAGTACGCGTTCGGAGACGGTAAATGAAGGAATTTCAATTTCATTGAAACAGTCTTAAATTAAATGTTTATTTTAGAAAGTGTTCAAAATGTGCACCATGAACCTGGATACATTTTTGGAGGCGGTAAATAAATTCTTGCTGAACATTTTTTAGTTGTTCTACAGTAATTGATCTACATGCATGTAGAATCCTTTGTCGCATGTTTTCTGCTGTTGTGGGAATATCATTGTAAACTGTATTTTTTAGGTGCCCCCACAGAAAGAAATCAAGTGGCGTAAGATCCGGCGATCATAAAATCATTTCCACTTTTTCTGCTGTAGTGTACATGATGGAGAATCTTATTACACTGCTATCGATACTGCAACTTGTTGTGTACGTCGCGGCTTTTTGACAACGCGCTATTGACCCGCTTCGGTCATTCCCCTCTTACAATAATAATACTTGTAAACATACTTCAACCGTTGCAAGGAGAATATGAATATCTATTTATAAGCACCAGAAACAATTACACGGTACACTGTTTCAATGAAATTGAAATTCCTTCATTTACCGTCTCCGAACGCGTACTGAAGTTACTGACAAACATTTCATAATTCCTTCGCTAAAGGTCACGTGAAGGTCAACATATCGCACATCGTTGGATTCGTCTTTTTATAAGCTATAAGACTGTTGTAGCGAAAATATGTGGTCCCATTTTAAAAAAATACGATGACCTTGAAATCTCGAAAAAAATGACCTCGAAAAAAAAATTCGATCTATCACCGTATTGGCGCCTTCGAACAGAATACTTTGTCCTCTTGACATTTTTTTCTATCATACAAAATAAGCGATATATTTAAGGTGGTCAAGTTAGGTGAAATACCCTGTATATTAGATACACGTGAAATCAAGATCTCTAATTCAAACGGTGTGTGCTGTTTGTTTCGGCTTTAGTTTCGACTCCTCGAATCGCGCGACTCTTAAAGTCGCTCTCTCGCGCTCGCGGTCGTGATTAGGTCCCTTTCGAAACGTTCGTCCCGCTCGAGATTCACCACGTATGCTCTTCCAACAATTCGTATATTGTTGGAAGATTACGTATTGAACAAAATCTCGAGTCCCGTGTTAAGTAAGTTTCAGGCTTCGGCAGGACCGCCGAAGAAAGAAAAGGCTCTATATGAGCTGAAGAGGCCCTAACTGTGGAAGTATAAAAATTCCACACGTGGACTCTGGAAATTTCCAGAGTCCTGATGCGTTTTTGTTTAAGCGAAGGGGAGGTCCGAGCGGCCGCGTGTCGTGGCGGAATCGGGCAGTCGTTACAAGATAGTTGACCACAGCATATGTATAATAAAGATTTCCTCTCACAAAACCAAGACAAGCCGTCTCGTATATTAAATTATACCCCAACAGGTTATGGGCCCAGGGGTGCTAGTGGAAGTGAGGTGAAAAGGAAAAAGAAAATAAGCTGTGGAAAGTGTATTTAAGAAGATTTTTTTAACGGCTCGTCTCTGTGTGTTTTTTCGTTAGTGTTGGAAAAAATTCCTAGTACGTTCGCAAGTCAAAAAGTATGGATATCGGCAGGATTAAGGTCGAGATGTTAAGAAATGCCGATAATTGGCAAGAATGGCGATTTGTCATACGTACTCTGATGGAAAGTAACGATCTGCTGGAAGTGTGCGATGGCACATTCATCAAGCCCGAGGAAGGAAGTGAAAATTATCAAGTAATGTTGACCAGATGGAATAATGCTAATAAAGAAGCGAAAAAACTAATCGTTACCACGCTTGAATCAAAGCCATTGCAATTAATAATGAATTGTGATACGGCAAAAGACATGTGTCAAAAGCTACACAATGTCTTTGACATGAAATCAGATGAAAGTCTGTCTTTGATTCAAAAGGAATTTTTTGAATTTCGTTGGGATCCTGCAGGAAATGTGGCACAGCATATATCGAAACTCGAACAAATGGCGAGTAAAATGAAAGCACTTGGTGGAGAATTACCTTCTTCTATGCTGGTTACAAGAATTCTTTCGACGTTGCCACCAAAGTTTAATTATTTTCATAGTGCATGGGATTCAACGGCAGAAAACAAAAGAACGGTTGAAAATCTAACGGCGAGACTCATGACCGAAGAATTACGCATGCAGAAAAGGGACGACACGGAAGAATCCACAACGGCCTTACTTTCAAAAATGAATCTGCGAGCTAATTCCACGAAGAAAACCACGAGCAACGCAGAAAGGAAAATTCATTGGAAAGGGAAGACAAGTATCTGTTATGCATGTGGCTTGAAGGGTCATAAGCAACAAAATTGTAGAGGCTGTTTCGAATGTGGATCAAAGGATCATATGGCGAGAAACTGCACGGTAAGAAAGGGCGAACGAAAGAAGAACGAACACAAGAGGAGTGAGGATTCGTCGCACGATTCAGCGCAGGCATTCACAGGATGTACAAGACAGGAAGACGATGACGATTATTGGCTAATTGACTCAGGTGCGTCAGACCATATGACGAATCGACGAGAGTGGTTCACGGAGTATCAACGGCTTAAGGAATCGGTAAAGATTTACATCGGTAACGGTGAGAAAGTGTCAGCAATTGGCCAAGGTAATGTACGAATCAAAACGAATGGAAACGGAAAATAGCTAGAAGGAATTTTATACGATGTCTTGTATGTACCGTGTATGAAACATAATCTATTTTCTGTAAGAGCTGCCGCAAAAAAGGGCGTAGATTTTTCGCTTACTAAAAAAGGCAAAGAATGCATATTTACGTGTAAAAATAAGGTTGTAGCTGTAGGAATAGAAATCGGGAAATTATATAGAATCGATTTGCAGGTTTTAGTTCCGAGTGTAGCGTGCACAGCGAATAAAGTTGACACATTGCAATTATGGCATGAAAGGCTCTGTCATCAAAACAAGCGCCATGTAAAGTCTTTTCTCAAAGATAGAGGAATAGATGTAACGGTAGATAGCGAATTTTGTGACGGTTGTGCGTATGGTAAGCATCACAGGTTACCCTTCGGAAGGAAAATTGAACGTGCAACAGCGGCACGAGAATTGATACATTCCGATGTATGCGGACCGATGTCTGTAGAATCGCTGGGTAAAAGTAAATATTATGTTATTTTTAGAGATGATTATAGCAGTTATCGGAAAGTTTATTTTTTACATAATAAATCCGAAGTGAAGGGAAAAATTAAAATTTTCTGCAATGAGGTAAAAACGCGTTTTGGCAATAGCATTAAAGAATTACGTACCGACGGAGGGAAAGAATATGTAAACGAAGAAGGTAGTAATTTTTTACAAGAATTAGGTATAAGACACGCTGTTACTATTCCATACACACCGGAACAGAACGGAACCGCCGAGCGTGAAAATAGAATCGTAGTGGAAGCCGCGCGTTCAATGTTGTTTTCGAAGCCGGACTTGCCGAAATTTTTGTGGGCGGAAGCGATTAATTGTGCTGTACATGTATTAAACTACACAGGACCAACTAAAGTAGAAAATAAAACGCCTTTTGAATTATGGTTTGATAAGACAGCCAACGTAAATCATTTAAAAGTTTTTGGTACAGAATGTTTCGTGCACATTCCTAAAGAAAAGAGAAAGAAACTGGATAAGAAAGCTTATAAAGGTTACTTTGTAGGATATTCTGAAAATGTACAGGGTTATCGTATCTGGATTCCTGAAGTACGTGATGTTGTAATGAGTAGAGATGTTTTATTTAAAGATGAGAAAGTATGTAAAACCGAAGTAGTGATTGAATTAGAAAAACAAGGTGATAAATCCAATGAAAGCACAAATGAAACAGAGTCTAAAAGTAGTGAGTCGAGCGATAATGAGAGTCCAGAGAACGATAATTCTGTGCAAAAGATAACCGATCATAAAGTGCACACTAGGAAATTAAGAGATCGAATAAAATTAAAGAAAACAGAATTTTACGGAAATCCTATTGCGATTTTGGCTAATGCGGAGCCAATAGATTATGAAGAAGCGATAAACACAAAAGATGCGGAAAAATGGAAAGAGGCCATGGACGAGGAAATGGAATCATTACATGAAAATAATACGTATGTTTTGGTTGAAAAACCAAAAGAAAAGAAGGTTTTTCGAAATCAGTGGGTTTTTCGTTGCAAAACAGATTCAGATTCAAATGAAACCCGATATAAAGCAAGGTTAGTTATAAAAGGTTGCTCACAAAAGGAAGGAGTCGATTACTACGAGACGTTCAGCCCTGTGGTCCGTTTTGATACCGTAAGAACTTTGCTTAGTATTGTTGCTCAAGAAAAATTGTATTTACGACAATTCGATATAAAAACCGCGTTTTTATATGGTACGATAAATGAAGAAATTTATATGCAGCAGCCGAGAGGTTTTCAGGATGGAACGGGACGCGTAAGT